CCAAATTTATTGGGCATTCCTCAATTCAAAACGAAACGAAACCCTGCTCTCCCTCTCTGCACAGAACATCCATAAACGACGCTCTCCTTGTGTCTTGACACCCACCTTGCCTCAGAAGCACCCAGGTGAAGCACCTGCACCATAAATTTAAAGCGCACCCTGCCCCAAATGAGAATTCTGGAAACTGTAGTTTGCCCCTCACAAAACTACAATTCGCTAGATTCTAAGAGTGCCTCCATTGAGCCACACTAGTGTTGTGTGTGTGTGTGTGTCCCCCCCCCACTTTCTCCTTGACAGGGAACTTTAAGAAGTGAAACCTCTTCAAAAATGGAGCAATCCAGAAGGCCTGGCTTGATATTTCTGGTATTTCTTGCCCTAACTTATCCCCTCCAGATTGGGGGGGGGGGAGGGCTGGTATGTGCAGAGGGGGTGTGAGGGGGGGGAGGGAGAAATCTGCTAGTTACAAAGTTGAGGCAAGACGCAGAGGCTGCTGCCCAAACCACATAAGGGTGTGAGCGCTCTGCGCTGCTCGATGGAAGGCTACCTCATGATATCATCTTCGGACGCACACACAACCCGACCAGCCCAGCCTCTCTTGAGCGCTGGCGAGTAAATTTCAAACAGACACACACACTGGGGGGGGGGGCAGCTAGGAGAGTAGTGGTGCCAACTGGCTGCTTTAAGTTCTTCCCTAGTCTGCCGGGGGGGGGGGGGAAATAAACAAAATCAGACAGCCCCCCCATCCCTTTCCTGCCACTGTAATAAATCCAGACGCATTGAGGCGCTCCGAATGGGGCGGCCCTATTAGTAACGCATCCGCGAGGCAAAGTGGTGCAAGATGGCACAGCCCCCGCCGGATGGGGACTGCTCTCCAGAAACTGGGATCCGTGGCCCAAGGCTGCTGGCGGGAGAGCCCAGCCACCAACTCCCAGCCTTAATTGCAGGGAAGGGAGGAGAGTCACCCCAAGGGCCTGGCAGAAAGCGGCAGGAAACAGCCCAGATCTCCCAGGTTGCACACACCAGGCCCAGCACCTGAACCAGAGGTGGCAGAAGGGCTCCAAAATGATGCCACTTCTTCCTTCCAGCACAATGAACCAATTGCCGTATTTTTTGCTCTATACGACTGACTTTTCCCCTCCTAAAAAGTAAGGGAAAATGTGTGTGCGTCTTCTGGAGCGAATGCAGGCTGCGCAGCTATCCCAGAAGCCAGTACAGCAAGAGGGATTGTTGCTTTCACTGCGCAGAGATCCCTCTTGCTGTTCTGGCTTCTGAGATTCAGAGTATTTTTTTTCTTGTTCTCCTACTCCAAAGACTAGGTGCGTCTTGTGGTCTGGTGCGTCTTATAGAGCAAAAAATACGGCAAGCGGAGCAAAAGGTAAAGATGCCGTCGCTCGCACTCAGCCCTGATCCGCATGGACAAAAAAAGATATATAAAGGCAGCTCACAGGGTCCCTCTCTGGATAAGCAACCTCAAGACGGGTAGTCTTGAAATAATAATAATAATAATAATAATAATAATAGAAATAGAAATACAGCATCCATCTACCTGCAACCGCCCCCCCCCCGGTGCCCCCAAAGCTCTCGGCTTTCAGGTAAATCCCTCACCTTGGGATCCAGGACTGACCAAAGAAATCACTGTATCACACACAGTATGTACTGAAATGATGGGATTCACTCTCACGATATGTCGCGATGGAGGACTCTAAATTAACAACAGGATCGTAGAGATGGAAGGGACCCCTGAGGGCCATCTAGCCCAACCCCCAGCAAGGCAGGAATGTTTTGCCCAACGTGGGGCTCGAAAATTACCTTGTTTTCTTACCCCTTGAATGCGATGATTTTATATTTCTCATTGTTGTAACACTATTTTCCATTGTTTTAAAATCTTTCCTAGTATACTTAACGTATCATGATGCGTTTTACGCTCTCTGTTTTCTTCCATATCTTCTCTACTGGTCATTGACCGAGAGAAAGCAATAAAAATATTATACACACACAGTGCTTTTTTCTGGGGGGACGTGTACCCCTAAACATTATGTGAATCTTTGTCTGTTTACTGTATTTTCCCCCCCAATTTGAACTATAAAATGGTGATTTTCTGGAGTCAAAATGAGAGAACCCCTAAGCATTTTTTTAAAGAAAAAAAGCACTGTATATAATAATATAGCAAAATATAGTACAGTATCGTAGAGCATAATATAATGCAATGTAATATATATTATATAAATATACACACATATATGTTATACACACACAAACATAGCATATCATACCATATATTATATTACATTGCATATGTATGTACTGTATAACACAGTACATACATTATATATGCACACATATATGCTACATATACACAAACATATCATAGCATACCTTATATTTGTATGTACCGTATAACATAATAATAATAATAATAATAATAATAATAATAATAATAATAATAATAATAATAATTTTTTATTTATACCCCGCCCTCCCCAGCCAAGGCCAGGCTCAGAGTGGCTTACAAGCAATAATAAAAACAAGAAGAATGATTACAACTTAAAAACAAAAATAAAATGCAACATTAAAATAATGGAACATTATACACACCCATATACATGTTATATACACACAAACATATTACACCATACCATATATTGTATTATATTATATATGTTTGTACCCTATATATATAACATAATATATATACATACACTATAAGATATATAATATGCAATATATATATATATATATATGCTTTCGTAGATTTTCACGGGTACAGGAATGCAGGTTTTGGTGTCCTCGGGTGTCTTCCCGTGTAAAAGTGGGGTGTCTAGGCGACGTTTCGACGAAGGTCTCACTCGTCATCTTCAGGCTGGTGTTTTTCGGCTTCTTGTTAACAAGAAGCCGAAAGCACCAGCCTGAAGATGACGAGTGAGACCTCGTCGAAACGTCGCCTAGACACCCCAACTTTTACACGGGAAGACACCCGAGGACACCAAAACCTGCATATATATATATATATATCACACACACACACACACACACCAGACTGTCGTCCCCCACAAAAGCCCCTCCCTCAAGGAACCCCCCCAAACTACCTCAGCAAACAGAAACCCCCATGTCTGTCTTTGCTGCCCCCTTGACCATAACATTGGGGGGTCGGGGGGGGGCTAAGCCCCGCCCCCTCGACCACATGACACGCCCCCCCATTTGAATGGGGCTTCCCTTCAACTTCTTTCTTTGAGGCTCCCTCGGGGGGGGGGGCGTGTGTGGAAGAGAGCGAAGGGGCCTCGGACCTGGCTTTTTTATAATTATTCTTATTATTCTGGGGGGGGGTGTCTTCTAAATGCCTCCCCAGGAGAAAACTCCTTCAGCCTCAGTTCCCCCCCCCCAGGGAGACACCTTCTTAGAGGGGGGACACGAAGCTGAGGGGGGGGGAGAATTGTGCCACCCCCAAAGCCCCTTCTCCCCCCAAAATTTGGAGGTAAACGCCCAAATCACCTCAGAAACCCCCATATTTAACTCAGAAACCCCCCAAATATTCCCTCAGACCCCCCAAATCACCTCAAAAAACCCTCAAATCACCTCAGAAACCCCCCAAGTTAACTCATAACCCCCCAAATCGCAGTACCTCAGAACCCCGCCCCACAGAAATTCCCTCAGCAACCCCTCCCAAAAATCACCTCAGTGCCCCCCAATTTGCCACCCTCATTTTTTACCTCAGCGCTGTCCCTCTCTCCGCCCGCGGCTCCTCCGGGCTCCTCGCTCCCCGCGGCTGAGAGGCGACGGCCGGGAGCCGCCTCGTCCCGCCCTCGCTCGCTTCCCGCCCACAGCGGAGGCGGCCACTTCCGGGTTGGACGACGCCACGGCGCACGCGCGGAAGGCGGGGGCAGGAAGCGGAAGGAGAGGGAAGGCCGCGCAGGCGCAAACCGCGCAGGCGAAGCCCGAGAGGCGCCCGGTGCCCTTCCTTTCCTGGGAATGGTTAAGAGTTTTGTGAATTATTGATTATTCAGAGATACACAAAAGAGATAAGGATCTTTCATTTTGTAAAATGTTATATTGATATTTTTGTCAGAAACATACAAAAACGCATACCCACCACTAAGTAGAAATAAAAATTATTATTATTATTAAGTATCTTATTAGGTATTTTGTGGTTAAAAAAATATATCTTTATTTGCATCAGCCGTTGGCCATAGCAATAAAACAACAATGTGATATTCAAAGAATAGAAATAAAAAGTCAATTATGTAAAATACATTTTAGGGCTTTGAATCAAGTCAAATAGTGGATCTTATTCTGATTGCCCCGGCTAAAAAAACCTCGCCACCTTTGCTGTCACCTGCTCAACTGGATCTGCCAAGAGAAAGGACCCTGGGGCAGTGCTGAGCGACCCGGAATGGACAATAAAAGAGGGTTTTACATCTTGATTTTATTCTGTAAACTGCCCTAGGACCCCCGGGTATAGGGCAGTATAATAATAATAATTAGTGATGTATGGAAGTGAGAGCTGGACCATCAAGAAGGCTGATCGCCGAAGAATGGATGCTTTTGGATTATGGTGCTGGAGGAGACTCTTGAGAGTCCCATGGACTGCAAGAAGATCCAACCTCTCCATTCTTAAGGAAATCAGCCCTGAGGGCTCACTGGAAGGACAGATCCTGAAGCTGAGGCTCCAAGACTTGGCCACCTCATGAGAAGAGAAGACTCCCTGGAAAAGACCCTGATGTTGGGAAAGATGGAGGGCACAAGGAGAAGGGGACGACAGAGGACGAGATGGTGGGACAGTGTTCTCGAAGCTACAAACATGAGTCTGACCAAACTGCGGGAGGCAGTGGAAGACAGGAGGGCCTGGCGTGCTCTGGTCCAGGGGGTCACGAAGAGGCAGGACACCACTAAACGACTAAACAACAACAAATAATAATAATAATAATAATAATAATAATAATAATAAATAAATAAGTAAGTAAGTAATTAAAACAGGCCAAAAGAAGACACTATTGCAACCAGACTTTGCAGTGAAAGAGTGCAGTGCTTTAATACAAAAATTCCATTCAATACAAAAATTTGAGCAGCTTGGCAGAGAGGGCGGCTTCGGCTGCCGGATTCGGGACGGGAGGCCTGGAGGGGGGCCAGCCTGGGGTTCTGGGCCTAGCCAAAGTAGAGCTGCTGTATCCTCTCGACCCCTTGGGCGTCTTCAAAGACCTTCTGGCAGCGCAGGGAGGCCTCTTTGCCAACGTCGGCCGACAAGTCCAGTCCGTGCGCGAAGGTCCTGGAAGAGGAGGAGGAGGAGAGCGTGGATTGGGAGCAGAGAAGCAAACAGGCTCATCTCTTTGCGAAAGATCTAGCAGGGCCCATTGCTAAGAACATGACGTCCTGACGGCTCAGAGCGACCAACGTTCAACATTGTCGTTCCAACCAGGCACCTCCTAGAAGGAAACAACGGCAAGGGCCTTCCCCCTATTATTTCTCCCCAGCTTCTGATCACGGAGGTCCAGCTCCGAGGGCCTTCTGGCGGTTCCCTCCCTGCGAGGTTGCAGGGAAGCAGGCAGAGGGCCTTCTCGGTGGTGGCACCTTCTCCCATCAGATGTCAAGGAAATAAACCACTCTCTGACTTTTAGGAGGGATCTGAAGGCAGCCCTGTTCAGGGAAGTTTTTTATGACTGATGTTTTGTTGTGTTTTTAATTTTATCGTGTTTTTAATATTCTATGGGGAGCTGCCCAGCGTGGCTGGGGAAACCCAGCCAGAAGGGTGGGGTATAAATAAATTATTTATTATTATTATTATTATTGGCTCCATTGCGCCATCGTGGCTAATGACCACTCAGGGATCTCCAACCAGACCCAAAGTACACCCAAGGAAAGTGGGCGTGTCCCTTAAATCCAGCTCTGACTAATCCCTTCGTTTCCAATAAATAAGTGAGTTTGCAGCCAGCCTCTCCTGAACAGCATCACGTGGATGAGCCTAAATCCTCCCTTTGAAGCCGTTTGAGCCTGTGGGCCACCTTGTGGCAGTGAGTCCCGTAGGTGAACGGGCTGCTGAGTGAAGAACAGCTTCCTTTCTGAAGCACTGGGCGACCAGTTCTAGTACTTATGAGCAAACGAGAATACCTTCTCTCTACACATTTGTTTTCTGCCATTTCTTAGTGTTCTTCTAAGCCGGTTCCAAAAAGGCCCACAATCTCACTGTTTTGTAAAGTGAATCTCCAAGCAAAGCAGATGCTCTGCTTCAGCAGGAGGGGAAATGGGACGTCATATTTCTGTCTCATTCTTTGAAAGTTTGTGTTCCCAACATGGAGTACGTCTGTATTCCCAACATGGAGTACGTCTTTATTCCCAACATGGAGAAAGTCTGTATTCCCAACACGATTCACCAAGATCTCCCTCAGCCCCTTAAGAACTTGCCTCTTCCTCCTCCTCCTCCACCCAACCAAACAGGAACCAAGTTCCTTAGGTTCTTTTAAAATGTGCTTTTTCTATAAATACCTTGGCAGCTCGGCAGCCACCTCCAAGGACGTCTCCTCCAGCTCCTTCGTGGCGCTCAGGCCCTTGGCGTTCTCCTTGGCGTGCTCCGGCAGGGCTCTGCGCAGAGCTTCCTGGGTGGCGGCCAAGGCCCTCTGCAAGTCGTCTGCAAGTCGAGGGAAGAGATTCAGAGAGAGGAAGAGATCCTCTTAGATAGCAGGCATCAAACCAGGAACCCTCCCCATGGAAAAGGGGAGAGGAATGTTCCCGGTTGCTGCAACTCCTGCCCTCGGAGGTCTTGCAAGGTGCTGCAGGAGGCGGCCTGTGAGGGCTCTTTCTTGGACCAAGCTGAAGCTGCAAATCTCCCTTTTTAAAATAAAATGTTTTTGGAGGAAAAATCTGCTCCCTTTCTCTTTCCCCAATCTTCTTGTACATCCTGCCTGCTTCTTGCATCACCTGGACTGGACTGCTGGCTGCCACACCTGTTCCCCAGGTTATCTCCCATACGGGGCAAACCTGTTTGTAACTTTAAGCCTAAAGCCTGCCTTCAGGGATCACACTGCGCTCTGCCTAATCGTGAGTAAAACTACTTTTTGTTACTTGTAAATAAGACTGCGGTGTCTTTATTCTTTTCGGAGGGATTCAGGGGGTCTTACCAGGAAAATATTATTTGGACAAGCCAGATTGAATTGCTTATTGTCTTAAGAAACTCACATTAGTTTGCAACCAGCTTTCTGCTGCGTAAGAAGGGGAAGGCACTCTGCTAGCACAAGTTAGGAAGGATATTAATAAGCAATATATCCTCTCCTGCCACCCTCAACATCCCTGCAAACAGATGCTTCCTGATGCCACATGGGGCTGGATCCAGGAGTCTCTGCCGTCGAGGTGGATCCACTCCCCTACCTAGATACTGGCTCTTGTCCTCGCCCAGGTAGATCTCGTTCACCGGCAGCTCGTGTCTCGCCGTGTCCAGGGCGGTGGCAAAGTGCCTGTATTCCTCTTCGAATGCCGGGCTCTGCTCAAAAACGGGAGCAAGAGCTTCGAGCTGGAAGCCCGGGTGGTGGAAGGAAGGAGAGACGTTAGCCGCAGGACAGAATCAAGCCAGCCCCGTAGGGATATGTCCTCAGATCTGCCCCCTGGGAAGGAGGAAGCCCATACCTGTTTGCCCAGCGACTCGGAGAGCTGGCGGTCCTTCCTTAGGCGCTGCAGCCTGCGCCGCTTCTTCTGGGCCTCCGCCTGCAGCCTCGCAGCCTCCCTGCTGAGGGTTAGCAAGCTCCTCTCAGATCGCCCTTCCAGGAAGGCGGTATTCTTCTCCATCTGTTTGCGATGCAATGTTGTCGGGTTTCGAACACGCGTCCACAAAAGGCAGGTGAAAGAAGATGCATTTAGTGCAGGGGCTTCTAAAGGGGGAACAGTTCTCCCTCCTCCTCCTCCTCATTTATATACCGCTTTATATTTTAAAGGGGGGAAATCTCAGAGGCATTTACAACACGTTAAAGCGGCATATGAAACAATCCAGAATAAAACAAACTCAATCTTCAAGGGAAATATTTCAGATCCTTCTCTAAGTGACTCTCAAAGCGGGGATAAGACTGTTGGTCTCTTACCTTTAGGGAGGCATAGCTCAACAGAAGTGTCTCCGATTCCAGCATCCGAATCAGGTCGTCAGAATCAGGAGAGACCTGGAAGAAAACAAAGCCAATTCTTTAACAAATCAAACGGGTGGGAAACTGTCGAGAAAAGCAGGGAGGAAGGGCGAATCTGCTGCAATTCTCTTTACATGCTTCTGAAAGTATAGCACTGCGATTTTTTAAATTATAGAAACCTTAGGTCCCAGATGATGGTGATCATTAAGCTATGAACTGCCTTCTAAACCGGCGTCTCAAAGCGATTTACACATAAGTTTATTAAAGACAACTAAAAGCACAAAACAACAAATGCATTCAAAACCAGACAAGTGGACCCTCGTGGCCAAGACCGGCTCACCCGCCTGGGAACGTTTACTGCCACCTAACAGCAGACTTGAGAGTATCTGTTTGACAACAGCTCAACAAGAACCTGTAGCCCCTCACTAGAAAATAAAATCTGCGTTCAATGTCCCCGCATGACTCACCAGGCTCTGTTTTTCTCGGGGGGTGGGTTTTAGGTGGTGTTTCGAACTCGATGCTCTGGGGCAGCTTTTGCCTAGAAGTGGCAACCAGAGAAAAGACAAACACACACACGGACAGTCACATTCCAGTTAACAGTCAAAAGCCGATAGGAGACTGGGCTGCAACTGGGAGGAGGGAACCCACAAATGGCTGCAACAATGACCCCCCTGCTTTCTCCGTTTAGCGTTTTCCTGTGCTTTGTATACTTGAAGGTCTCCACCCCCATCGTTCTGCCCAGACACGGAGGTCCAGCTCCAAGGGCCTTCTGGGTGTTCCCTCCCTGCGAGAAGTGAGGCTACAGGGAAGCAGGCAGAGGGCCTTCTCGGTGGTGGCACCCTCTCCCATCAAATGTCAAGGAAATAGACAACTATCTGACTTTTAGGAGGCATCCGAAGGCAGCCCTGTTCAAGGAAGTTTTTTATGTTTTGAGGTTTAATTGTGCTTTAAAATATTCTGTTGGGTGCCTTGGACAACTCCGGGGGCGGCTAAACTAAATTTGGGGGCACCAGGTGGATCTTTGCACCCCGGCGGTGCATATGCTAAAGTCGTCTCTGGGGGCGAGCTCAAGGTGTCTCGTCCTGGACGAAAGGAGTTGCCTTAAATATCCCACATGGGGGGGGGGAGGCATCATTGAACCCCTGGGTCTTCTGCGGGACATGACACCCCACCCCTCCGAAAACCACACAGAAGTTCTATCACTGAGGGGGAGAAAGGAGGCCAGCACCTCTGCAACCAGTTCAAGGCTGTAACTGGAGGGAACACACGTACTTTTGATGACAGAGACCTCCAGTTCAGGCCGGGCTCTTCCGTGGCTCTCCACCAGAGTGGACTGCAAAACCTCATGAGGGTCTAGAGGAGGGGAGGAAAACCCAATTATACTTGGTCTCTAAGGTGCTACTGGACTATATTATCCTGGTTTGCCGGAGCGGCTCCCAAGTGGTTTACCGGCATTGAACTAATTGCGTGATGGAGACAAATAAACACAGATCAAAATTAGAAATGGCTGAATTGAAACCGCAAAGAATAGACCTTGTCTTCTAAGAGCCAGTTGCATAACGAAAGCGATGGGGGCCTCTTGTATTCCAGGAGGGAATCACCAACCCAGATCGCCTTCTCGACAGATTTAACCGTGTCGGAAGGAACCCCACCATCATGTGAACTTGCCCCCGAGAAAGGCAGGTCCACCCCAGAGAGCCCCTTCAAGATGCTTGACCCCCCCCCAAAAAAAACTCACCAGCTGTGGCTTTGGCAGCAGCCTGGAAAGGAAGAATAAGACATGACATGGCAAGTTAGGCATGGGCTGTTATGTCATGGTTGGGGAGTGTGAGTGTTTCAACACACACCAGCAATTGGATAAATCAAAATAAAGGGGTTTACACCTCTCCCCACACCCACCCCAAGCACGTTCCGTGGAATTTATTTCAAGGATTATTATTATTTATTAGATTTATAAATCGCCCTTTGTCATAAGATCTCAGAGCAGTTCACAGAAGAAAACATGGGATAAAAACAAGTAAACAATTAAAACAAAACAGCAAAACAGTGATAGCCCCCTTCTCACAGACACATTTAAAAAGCTGTAGAATATTAATCAGCCCAAGGCCTGAATGAAGATGAACATTCTCGCCAGGAGCCTAAAAATCTATAATAAAGGCACCAGGCAAACCTCCTGAGAGAGAAATCCACAAACGAGGAGCCACAACCCGTTTGTTAGTGATTATTTAACCAAAGACTTCTCAAGAGCAAGTGACACACAAACCTTAAGCGTAAACGCCAAAAAGAGGAATTTCACATCCAGATCTCACCTTTCCGGATCCTTTTTGATAGTCCAGGTATCGTGAGGGCACGATTCTTGCCCCTAAGGAGGCAGAAAGGAGGCAAGAGAGAAAAAGCGTGAAACAGGAAGAGGCAAGGTGCCTCTGAGCACGTCAGGAGCGGCTTTTCCGAAGACTGTGGCAGGAGGGGGGCAAAGTGCCTCCCCTCTCCGGAACGGCAGCAAGCACGTGCAGAGTTCCTCTTGCTCCTGTAGGGACCCTTGCCCTCCCCAATGGGAATAGCCAGGGGGGCAGCTGCCCACCCAAAATCAATAAAAATACTGAACTAGCTGAGGTTCTGCCCCCCCACAACATAAACCATGACTATGCCCAGGCAGAGGGCCTTCTCGGTGGTGGCGCCCGCCCTGTGGAACGCCCTCCCATCAGATGTCAAGGAAATAAACAACTGCCTGACTTTTAGAAGACATCTGAAGGCAGCCCTGCGTAGGGGAGCTTTCAATGTTTGATAGTGTTTTTAATATTCCGTTGGAAGCCGCCCAGAGTGGCTGGGGAAACCCAGCCAGATGGGCAGGGGAGAAATTCATTATTATTATTATGTGCAGAGACCTCTGCGCATCTGCAGCTCCTTCACCCCCACATCATGCGCATCACACTTACCCCCTTAAGGGTAAGTACGTGTGCGTCCTATGGGGCGAATGCAGGCTTTCGCTGAAGCCTGGAGAGCGAGGGGGGTGGGTGCACACCGCCCCCTCTCGCTCTCCAGGCTTCAGGAAGCTATCCGCTAGCCGTGGGAGACACAGCTTGCCGGCACCCAGAAGCTTGGGGCGCGCTGAGCTCTGCACACCCCAAGCTTCGGGATTAGCGCAGCGGTCCGCTAGCCGTGGGAGAGCTGCGCGACTTCACACAGCTCTCCCACGGCTTGCGGATAGCAGCCTGTTCTGGGGGCTGGGGTTGGGGGAAGCTCAGGTTCCCCCCCGCCCCAGCCCCGCACCTGGGGGGGGGAATAATTCCCCCCCCCAAAAAACTAGGTGCGTCCTATGGGTCGAAAAATACGGTATAACCTATCTACGAGACGGTTGTAAACAAATTAAAACGTTAGCTGGACTTTAAAAAAAAATCACTTGTAAAGTACGACGTTTGTGGACAATTAAGAAAAATGAAAATTATGGAAACTGCCTTGATATGTAAACTTGGAAAACTAGTCATTAGGATCCATGTAAGGGATGGAGGGAAGTCAAGAGATTTAGAGAATGTCGCGAAATAAATAATTTGTTGCAAAATTGTATATGTAAAAATACATTTAAAAAAAAACCACCGAAACAGCGGGGCTCCCGAGCATGTGCAGAGCGCGGGCGCCTTCTCCCACGCGCATGCGCAGAGCGGCCCCGCCTCCCCCGAGCATGTGCAGAGTGCCGTCACCTCTCTGCTTGGGCCGGGCTCCCGCCTTCTCCTCCGACGCCAGGCCGGGCTCCGCGCGGAGAGCAGCGCCGCTCCGGAGAGGCGAAGAAGCCGCCGCCGCCGCCTCCTTTCCCGCCATTGCCCTCAGACGAAAAGGGCCCGCGGCGCATGCGCAGGACACCGAGACGGAGGAAGCCGCGCGGCCAGAGCGGTCCCGCCCTCGCTTCCGGGCGCGCTGCTTTCCTCCTCCCGCCCGCATAGGCGGCGTCACGTGACCCTGTCGCTCACGTGACCCCGCGGAGGCGGAAGTGGCTCGGACTCTGACCCTCCTCGTGCTGGCCCTGGGCTTCCCGCGAGGAGGCGGCGGCCGTGGAGGCGGAGGAGAGGCCCGAGGTGAGAGTGCCTCTGAGCATGCACAGAGTGCGCGGGCAGACTTGGGAGGGCGGGCGGAGGCCAGGACGGTTGCTGCTGTTGCTCGTATTCCTAATAATAATAATAATAATATTTATACCCCGCCCATCTGGTTGGGATTCCCCAGCCACTCTCAGCGGCTCCCAACGGAATATTTAAAACGCGATAAAAAGCACACTAAAGCTTATACCTAAAACTACAGTGGTACCTCAGGTTACAGACTCCGCTAACCCAGAAATAGTACCTCGGGTTAAGAACTTTGCTTCAGGATGAGAACAGAAATCGTGCTGCGGCAGCGCGGCAGCAGCAGGAGGCCCCATTAGCTAAAGTGCTTCAGGTTAAGAACAGACCTCCAGAACGAATTAAGTTCTTAACCCGAGGTACAACTGTACTCAGTTGGTCTCTACATTATCATTTTAAAATTCTTCTGCAATGATTCCTTTAAAGACTTAGATCATATAACTTTTTTGAAGGCGTGATTCTTTTAAAGGCGTTTTTAGGCTTTTAAGAAGAGTCTTTTTAATTAGCTTCTTAAAGAATTGTTTAAATTTATTTCGACTACGGCAGACCAACACGACCACCTACTTAAACCTTAAAGACTTCCCTAAAGAGGGCTGCCTTCCTAAAAGTCAGATAGTTGTTTATTTCCTTGACATCTGATGGGAGAGGGTGCCACCACCGAGAAGGCCCTCTGCCTGCTTCCCTGTAGCCTCACTTCTTGCAGAGAGGGAACCGCCAGAAGGCCATGGGAGGAAGCTCACCATCTTGTTTGTGTCCCCCCCCTCTGCAGTTCTCCCCCCAGGCAGCCGCTGGGCCTGCGACGAAGCGCCGAGATGATGGCCCGCGGCCGGCAGATCTTCTCCGTCTACTGGAAGCCGCTCTTCCAAGGCCGCCTCCTGCTGGTGACCAACACTGTCAGCTGCGGGGGGCTCCTGGCTGCTGGGGACACGCTCCGCCAGGCCTGGGAGATGAGGCAGGACCCCAAGCGCAAGCGGGATCTGGCCCGCACAGGTGAGCCCTGCCTGCCTCTTCCTCAAAACTGCCTTTCCACGGCGCTACCTGGGATTTCAATCCCGGGGGTGCAGAGTCAGGCCATCAGTCTGTGGGTCGTGGCCATTAAGCCATGCTCCTCGAGAGGTCAGGAGGGCGGCAACACGAGAGCAGGGCCTTCTGTATTATACTGCCTGTTTTTGCTATTAATTTTACGTTTTTGTGGCTCTTTTTGTTTTGTTTTGTTTTGTGACTGTGTGAAACCCAGTTAAGCTACAGATTGGTTGATTGTGTGACTGCAGTACAGTGGTACCTCAGGTTACATACGCTTCAGGTTACAGACTCCGCTAACCCAGAAATAGTGCTTCAGGTTAAGAACTTTGCTTCAGGATGAGAACAGAAATCATGTGGCGGCAGCGGGAGGTCCCATTAGCTAAAGTGGTGCTTCAGGTTAAGAACAGTTTCAGGTTAAGTACAGACCTCTGGAACAAATTAAGTACTTAACCTGAGGTACCACTGCACATTGTTTATTGCTTTCATTTTATGGATCAATGGTCTCGTTAGATAGTAAAATTCATGCTAAACGGCTGTCTTAGGGGTTGTTTTTAATGGTCTGGAGCGGATTAATCCATTTTTGCCGCCTTTTCTATGGGAAAACGTTCCTTGGTTTGGGAACGCTTTGGTTTTGGAGCGGACTTCTGGAAGTCCCCCCCCCCCACCTCAGCTTTTCACACGCGCTCCAAGCGATGGAGCCTCTTTTCTTTGCCTGTGGAGGAGACTACAAATCTGCCTCCTTCTCCTCCTCCTCAGCCCGCATGTTTGCCATTGGCTGCAGCATGGGCCCCCTAATGCACTACTGGTACCTGTGGCTCGACCGCACCTTCCCCGCCGCCGGCTTCAGCGGGATCCGCAGCGTCCTCAAGAAGGTTTTCATTGACCAGATGGTGGCCTCCCCGGCGCTGGGCGTTTGGTACTTCTTGGGTAAGGACATTGACACCGCTAGGAGAACAATCCCGCTTGGGGGGGATTGTATGCGTGAGGAGGGGGTCAGGTAGGGCCCGGGACTCGATGGCCCTCCTGCGGCGCAATGGGTGCGGGCGGGATCCCTGCACAGTACGGGGGTTGGGCTAGATGACCCTGGGGGGTCTCAACGCTACAGTTCTATCCTTCAGGGCTAATCTTCTGGGCAGGCAATGGAGAGGAGAAGGCTCTTTTCATGCCTCTCCTGGTTCTGGGAGACACGAGGGGAGGGGGAAACTCTCCTGCATCTGCCTGGCCTCATCCTGCACCCCCCTCCCTGGCATTCCCTTTGTCTCCCTGCAGGGATGGGCACTCTGGAGGGGCAGACGCTGGACCAGAGCTGGCAAGAGCTGGAGGACAATTTCTGGGAGTTCTATAAGGTAAGGCTCTTCCCTCCCCGTCCCTGACATCACATCCTGTCCCGTGGGGCAGCTGACCCCCGTTTCCTCTCCCCGCTCGCAGATGGACTGGTGCGTGTGGCCCCCGGCGCAGCTCATCAACTTCCTCTTCCTGCCCGCCGCCTACCGGGTGCTCTACATGAACGTCATCACCCTCGGCTGGGACACCTACCTGTCGTACCTGAAGCACCGGGTGGGTAAACTGAGGCAGCGGCGCAGGGCGCAAGTTTGGGGTCTCCGGTGGAAAGAGGGGTAACCCAGAACTGCAGCCTCAGATTCTTTGAATCGTGAGTTCGGGGACCATGTTCTCTTGTAGGGCAGAGGTGGGCAGGACAGCAGGATAAGAATTTCTTATTTATACACCGACTGGGTTGCCCCAATATTTTAAAGCCCAATAAAAACCTCAAAACTCGGCCCTCTGGCTGTTTTGGGACTACAATTCCCATCATCCCTGACCACTGGTCCTGTTAGCTAGGCATGATGGGAGTTGTAGTCCCAAAACAGCAGCTAGAGGGCCAAGTTTGGGGCTGCCTGCCTTAAGGGATCATTTCAGCAGGCTGCCTTGGATTTAGCAAGACCAGTGGTCCTCCCAGCAGCAGCTCTCCTGGGTCAAGAGGATACTCTCTGCTCTAGCCAGAGATCCCACCAGCTGCGTAGATCCCCAACTGATGAGATCCCACCCCACTTTCTCTTTAGCCTAAGCACCTATCACTCAGCCTGGAGGAAAACGAGGAAGCCGACACAGTCGAGATGGAAACGACCGGGTGAACGAGGGCCACTCACTTCTGCCAAGGTTGGATCCAGAACTCGTGCCGGAGCCAGCTTGGTGCCCCACCAGATTGGTGACTGGATCTGGGAAGCAGGCGCCGTCGCCCGGGTGCGCAGCCTTCTCTCCTCCCAGCCGAGGCCTCGACTCCCTCTTCCAGCAGCGCCTCGGATCCTGAAACGGGCTGGGGGGCAGATTTGGCACGGGCATCTCCTGACTGCCAACCCCGGTCCTTCCCAATTCATTCGAAAGTGCCAGATCTTTTTGCACGTCCCAATTAAAAGAAAAAGCAGGTGGCCTTTTTTTGCACGCCGTTGCCAAGACAGGTGCTTCTTCTCTCTGGTCAAGACGCTTTGTCCTTTTAATGACTGATGTTTTAATGTATTTTGAATCTGTTGGAAGCTGCCCAGAGTGGCTGGGGAAACTCAGCCAGATGGGTGGGCTATAAGTAATAAATTATTCTTATTCTTCTTATTAAATTATATTTTGAGTGCGGCGGAGCTGCCAGGCTCCTGACTGCAGTCGAACGGCAGCGGCTGGCCACACGCCAAGGTTGCAGGTTTGATCCCCGTATGGGACAGCTGCGTATTCCTGGCTTGTAGCGGGTTGGAATAGATGATCCTCTGGGTCCCTTCTGACTCTAGAATCCCAATCTTTCCTCGTTTCTAAAAACTTACTCAGCCTCCCAGCCTCCCCACAGCCAAAGCCCCCTATCAAAATGCCAGAGCAACAGTGAGGCGCTCCCTGCTTGCGGTTCCCAGCAGCCGGCACTCGGAGGTAGACTGCCTCTGTTGCTGGAGGGGCAGCTACACCACTAAGCCCCAGCCCACTCCACAAACTGGGAGAAAACCCCTTTGAAAAGCACCCGGCCCCCCTTGCCACATCAGACCCCCTTCAAGCGCTCGGCCTCCCCCCTTCCTTCACAGGGACTAGCAGCATGGAATGCTTCTCGTGATCAGAATTTTATTTCTTCACAACTCTCCTTGGTACCACGATATTGGGATTTCTTTCCACCCCATAGCTTTTAATTGTTTTTGTTTTTTTTAAGAAACTGAACTCATTTTGACACGTCCGACAGTCTTTTTTTTAAATACAGTACAGCATATATATATTTTTATATTTATATATATATATAATTTTCCCCATAGAAGTAAACTTCACAAAGAGAGAGAGAATGTTTTGTGTCTAAATATCTGCCAAAACGAGAAAATAAACCCAAAACCGTACGTAGCGTTTCCATGAAAAAAGAAAAGGGGGGTCGTGGGATGGAGGGGTGAGGAATGAGAGAAAAAGGGAATGTTTTAAACAGTGAGAGTTTGGTCGTTTGAGAAGATTGAAAGCCAGGAGTTCTCCAGGTGAAGCGGGGAAAGATCGCTTGCAGGGCCGAGGGGGCGGGAGCAGCAAGTGGGGGCAACACAACCTTTCCCCCCCTCCTACAGCACAACAGCCTCTTCCCCAACCTGGTGCCCTGCAGATGCCACCAGCCTTGGGCCAAAGTGGTTCGGGTTCATAGGAACCGCGGTCCAAGACAAAACCAGGAATGGGGGGGGGGTTTGCAGGGAATGTAGAAGCTGGACAGGGCAAACCAGCCTTCCAGATGTTGGCTGGGCTCCCAACAGCTGGCTGCTGATGGGATCTGGAGCCCCAGCAGCACCCAAGGGGGCAACAAGTTCCCCCTCCCCGTGTTGGAAGGGAAGGCAAGAGGCGGTGCCCAAGCGAGTCCTGCTCCAGAGTAGGCCCATTGAAACAGGCCGCCCTACGCCAGCCACAGCAGTTCATTTCGGGTTACAGAGGCTGGATCCGAACTCTACGCGGAGAGGATACTGCAGTCACGGCTCCCCCTTCCACCCCAAAAAGCTGGGAGCTCTTAAGAGACCCCCCGCCTCCCTCAATTCCCCTTAGGATTTCCAGGCGGGTTTTATCGCCTGCATTATGATCTCTGTTTTAGCGCTTGGGATTCTCCTCTTGCAACCTTTTACCCCGTCAGCATTTCCCAAAACTTGGGCCCTGTGTGTGTTTTTCAGGACTACAACTCCCATCCTCCCTGGCTAGCAGGACCAGTGGGTCGGGGAGCGTTGAAAGTCTAGCTTCTTCAGTATGCAGAGAGTTGGTAGGGGACCCCGATTCCCTTCGCAGAGCCTTCCGTTCCCCCCGTTTTCTGGGAAGAGGGGCTGGCTCTGGAATTGGCTCTGGGGTGGAAATCTGTGTCTCCTATTTCCAGCTCAGCGTCCTTGACAAACAACGCTTCCCATAATCCTTTAGGGGAGCCTATGGCTGCTTAAAGTGCAACGGTGCTGCCTTGACTATTCAGTGCAGACGGGGCCGGAATCTGACTACAGAAAGCCAAAGCTAACAAATTCCCAATTGCAAATCAGTTGCGTCGACACAACTGGGTCTGGAAGATCAACAGGACTGGATCAGACTGGTGGACTTGACTGGGGAAGGTGGTTCCACAAAAGTGGACCTGTGTAATTTGAAAACATCCAGAGACCCAAGTTTGGGGAACGCAGCCCTATGTGGTCTACGCCATCAAGGACCCAAACATGCTCCCAGAGGGTATATGTCAGGGCAAAGAGGAAGCTGCGTTATACAGAATCCCATGTTGCTCAGGACTGTCAACACTGACTGGCAGCAGCGGTCCAGGGTTTCCAGCACTGTGCAGATCACAGAAACTGAACCCGGGACCTTTCCCTCCCGGAAGAAACTAAGATACTGGCCCTCATTGGCCAAATGGAAAGGATGGAGTTGCCTGTGATGGTGAACCCACTCTGGGAATTGTAGCTCCGTGAGGGGATGGGGGTCTCCAGTTCCCAGGGATCTTTGGGGAGGGGTTTTGTAGTGCTTTAAATGCTGCCCTACAGTTCCCTGGGAAGAAGAGTTGATTGTTAAACCGATTTGGGAACTGTAGCTCTGCAAAGGGAAGAAACTACTATTCCCATGTTTCTTTGGGGGGAGTGCGGGCAGCTGTCACTCTTTAAAGTGGTGCGATACTGCTTTAAACGGGGATTAATCCGAGGAGGAGTTTAGCGGCTGCTTCTGTTGCCAACCTTCCTTCCTCGGCCCGCCTTATTCTCGTTCATCTTATTAAATACGGTGTTGTTGTTACTTTTAAAAAAGAGAATAACCTACAAGCAACTGAAAAACCGTGTATGTTAACATTTTCTTTAAATAAATAAAAAAAAACCCCAAACGCACGCTCACACGCACATGAAACATAAATAAAACCACCAGCAGCACAAAGCACGGCACGGCAAGAGGACCTCCAAACACACACACACACACACACACTTCAGAGTCTACTTCTATTTACAGGGAACGGGCCTTGGGGATTGCATTTCCTTTTTTCCTGTACACCAAGGAAGACGGGAGGAGGACCGGAAAGGGGTTTTCGCAGGGGAAAAGAAGGGAGAGAGAAAGAAAGAGAGAGAGCCACAAGCCATCCTCTGCAGGGCAGCGGTGGGAATCGAGGAAAGCTCTCCTGGCGGCATTTTGGCGACGCCGGACTGGCAAGGAGGGTCTTTGCCCTCCCTGGCTAGCCAGCCAGCGAGGCCAAAGAGAGTCTGGAAAGCTGGGAGATTGTGTCTGGACAAATCGTAGGCCAGGCAATTTACAACTGCAAATGGAGCCGTTTCCTAGATCTGAAAGCATACAGAGCCAGGCATCATTTTCTACGCTGCCGAACGAGGCTTCAAAAGGGAGATCTGCAGCCCTCCAGATTTGCTGGGGTTCCCAACTCCCTCGCTGACCACCGGCCACACTGGCTAGCAGGTCAGGAGCTGGAGGGCCGCAGATGTCCTGCCCTGAAGACGCCACAACAGCCACACGCCGCCACTCCAGGAGGAAGAGAGACGGAGAGGACCAATTTGGGGGAGGAAGGACCCCACAACTGCACGGCCGGAGGGGCAGGCACAGAAGCAGGTGTGGGCCTCCCCGCTAGCGGCGTTGCGGGACCAATCTTGCTTTGGAGAGAAGGGCCAAACAGGGAGGGCGGCAGCTGCAGAATTCAAACACAGGGACCAAAGCAATTCGGCTTCACAAGAGTCAGACCGTTGGGTCTGTCTCGCTCGGTATATTGTCTACACTGACCGGCAGTGGCCCTCCAGGCGCGGGGGGGGGGGTTGTTTCCAGCTCCACCTAGAGATACCACTGGGGACTGGGGACCGGAGGGCAGGCGCTCTACTGCTGAGCAACGGCCCAATTGCTAAAAAACAAAATTCAGACACCCGTCTTTGCGGTTGATTTCAACGAATATGCCTTGTGAGGAATGAGGCCGCTGGTCCATTTAGCTTAGCGCTGCGCCCACTGGCTGGCAGCAGCTCTCCGAGGTTTCTTTCCCCCAGCCTTACCTGGAGCAGATTCCAGGGACCGGAACAGAGAGAACTTCCTTCGGCACGGGAAGCAGCCGCTCTAACCGAGGAGTCAAACCCTCGCGGCAACGGCAGGTCCAAGCACGGGGTGCCTGCTCTGCTCTCTTCAACAAGACGGGGGGGTGTTTTTTTGGGGGGGGAGACACACAGAAGGCATGGACAAAAGAACCAGCAAAGGAAGGTGGAGGAGGAGGAGGAAGAAAGAGGAACAGCGGTGGACACCCAGATTTGCAAAACCAAGAACAGCTACAAATCGAGAGGCGTGTGGTCCAATAAATAAATAAATAAATAACATAAAGAAGATCCCAGAACAGTGGAAATAGCTTCCTCTCGACGCTGACCACCCGCCTCCCCAGCCCGCCCCACAAAGAAAAGACGATCCACAAAGAGAAGACAGGCAGGGGGCTGAATTCTCACCCGTCCCTTAAAGGAGAGCGAGGGGAGGTGGTTTGTTTTTAAGCTTTGACACCCCTCCTAGGTTTGGGGTCTCGTCCCCCCACCCCCACCCCAAAAACCAACAACCCCACAAAGGATAAAGCAATGGGATGGGTCAATGGGGGTGGGGAGATGGCTAGGCCAGGACTCCATAGTTACCCGGGAGGTGGCGGGGGGGGGGGGGGAGAGATGAGGCAGGCAAGGAGGAAGGTGCGGCAGGTGGGGGGATGTTCGGGGGGCTCCGCCTGGGAGTCTCTTCAACAGGCACAGTCCTGGTGCGGGGGGGCTTGCTGGTCGGTCAGCTGCGGACCCTGCTTGGCCCCAGTGACGGCGGGGTCGGCCGTGTCCAGCGACTCGGACATCTTTTCGCAGATAATGTCCACCAGGCGCTCAAAGGTCTGCTTGACGTTGATGTTGTCTTTGGCGCTGGCCTCAAAGAACTCGAACCCTGGCACAGAGGGGAAGGGGGGGTTGCAAAAATGAAATAAAATAATGAACACAGAGAGAGACAGAGAGCAAAGGGGGGGCAGGAAATGCAGGAGAGCCCCAGAAGGAGAAACAGGGATCTCAAAACACCTGACAGGACCCCTGACAAGGCAGAGACCCTCCTCCCTTGGCCAAACACAAGAGGGGGGAAACAGAGACAGAAACTGCCCCCTACCTGAGGGTGAACCTCTCCCATATTCCCCTGCCTCATATTCCCCCCATTCTTCTCCTTCCATCATTAACACCATCCTCATCCTGAATCGTTGTTGTTGTTGTAACTGTTAGCATTATTTCATTTATATGCACCCAATCAGGGCGGCCCCCAACAGAACATTCAAAACACAACAAAGCTGCCCCGTGGAAGATGGGAGCCAGCTTGTTTTCTGCTGCTCTGGAGGGCAGAACCTGAACTCATGGCTTCAGGTTCCAAGAAAGGACTAAATATCAGGAAGAACTTTCTGACAGTGGAAGAGTCTCCCTCCTTGGGAGGCGGTGGCCTCTCCTTCCTTGGAGGTTTCTAAGCAGAGGTTGGGTGGCCATCCGTCTGGGATGCTTTAGCCGAGATGCCTGCATTGCAGGGGACTGGACTGGACCCAGGGCCCCTTCCAACTCAAACAATTCTATGAATCACCATTAATTATTGTTATCATACCACTTAGTATTACAGTGGCACCTCGGTTTTTGAACGTCTCAGAAGTTGGACGTTTCGGATGTCAAACGCCCAAAACCCAGAAGGAAATGCTTTGGTTTTCAAACGCTTTTCCGAAGGCAAACATGCTATGCGGCTTCCATATTGAGTTTAAAGGTAAAGAGACCCCTGACCGTTAGGTCCAGTCGTGGCTGACTCTGGGGTTGCGGCGCTCATCTCGCTTTACTGGCCGAGGAAGCCGGCGTACAGCTTCCGGGTCATGTGGCCAGCAGGACTCAGCCGCTTCTGGCGAACCAGAGCAGCGCACGGAAACGCCGTTTACCTTCCTGCCGGAGCGGTACCTGTTTATCTACTTGCACTTTGACGTGCTTTCGAACTGCTAGGTGGGCAGGAGCAGGGACCCAGCAACGGGAGCTCACCCAGTCGTGGGGATTCGAACCGCCGATTGGCAAGCCCTAGGCTCTACTTCCGGAAGTAAATGCTTTGGTTTTCGAACGCTTTTCGCAAGTCGAAAGGTCTTCCGGAATGGATTACGTTCGAAAACCAAGGTGCCACTGTCTTTTAGCCACCACCACCACCAATTATTAATATTACCATCATGAAACATCCTTATTTTTATCACCATTGCTTTTATTGCTCTCCTCTCCATCGTTCTTATTACACTAATACGGCCTTTTCCTCCAAAGAGCACAAGCCGCTGCCCATGGGCCTCCCCCCCCCATCGTCACAACAACCCTGCGAGGCAGCCTAAGCCATCCTTGGCGGCTGAGAAGAAACCTTGCAAAGCCCTGAAGCCTCTCCCCCTCCTGGATTCCTGCTTTCCCATCTCTCTCTCACTCCCACAACCCCCAGAGCGCCTTCTTCCGGCTGCTGACTCACCCAGGTGCTCGGCCAGCTGGCGGCCCCGCTCCGACGAGACGACCCGCTCGTCCTCCATGTCGCACTTGTTCCCCACCAGCAGGACCTGGGCGTTGTCCCATGAGTAGGTCTTGATCTGGGTCGACCTGGCGGAGAGACGGAAGCAGCAAGAGGGGTCACGGGAAGACAGGACAGCCAAAAAGACCACTCACCGCCTCCCCTTCCTGTGGAGCTTCTAAACCAGTGATGGCCAAACTCGGCCCTCCAGCTGTTTTGGGACTACAACTCCCATCATCCCTAGCTAACAGGACCAGTGGTCAGGGATGATGGGAATTGTAGTCCCAAAACAGCTGAGGGGGGGCGCCTTCCAATGATTGGACTATGTGCTTCAGAAGCTGAGAGATCTCTGGCCTCCATCTGGGCTAGCAAAGAGCAGCCTTAAGTCTCTTTCTCCCCCAGAGTACACTTCTGTATTGCCCGCACTCAGGGTGGATTTGATTTAAATCACGATTCAAATCACTAGGCAGTAAGACTTCATTCAAATCACTTCTTTTTTTTACAGAAAGACTCATTCTTGCTGGTATAATCTTAATATTTACAACCAGAGGAAGAAGAAGAAGAAGAAGAAGAAGAAGAAGAAGAAGAAGAAGAAGAGTTTGGATTTGATATCCCGCCTTTCACTCCCTTTAAGGAGTCTCAAAGCAGCTCACATTCTCCTTTCCCTTCCTCCCCCACAACAAACACTCTGTGAGGTGAGTGGGGCTGAGAGACTTCAAGGAAGTGTGACTGGCCCAAGGTCACCCAGCAGCTGCAGGTGGAGGAGCGGAGACGCGAACCCGGTTCCCCAGATTAGGAGACTGCCGCTCTTAACCACTACACCACACTGGCTCTTCCTTTTTGGAATAATAAATTTTCAGAGTCGTTTTTTACTGATTTGGTTATACTATTAGAAATACATTGACAGATAATTATGAAATTATGGTGAGGTTTAATAAGTCAACAGTTTTCTGCTGTACTTTGTTGGAAGGAGGAAAATAATCAATTCCTTAATAACAATTTAAACAATTTATTGAACTAGAACAATAACGTTATAGCATGTACACGGAAAAATACGGTATATCTTGGTATTGTTACAGTGAGACTATTATTGGATTATAATGGAAAATTAGTAAAAATTATTATCAAAAAGATGAATAGTAGTCCAGAGGCTGGTGACACCCCCCCCCACCCCCAGGGTCTCCCCCGGGACTCACCAGTCCTGGACAGCGTTGAAGGACTCCTCGTTGGTGATATCGTACATCAGGATGAAGCCCATGGCTCCCCGGTAGTAGGCGGTGGTGATGGTCCGGTATCGCTCTTGCCCGGCCGTGTCCTGGGGAAAGGCCAAGAGAGGCTGTTACGAAGGGGCCCGGCAGGATCAGGCCCCCAATTCTGTCCCAGGATCAGCCGGAAGGAGCTCTTTCTTGGCGGAGAAATGGGGCTCTTTCAGTCACATTGAAAGATCACACCTGAAGGCAGCCCTGTCTAGGGAAGCTTTTAATCTTTGATGTATTACTGTATTTTAATATTTGGTTGGAAGCCGCCCAGAGTGGCTGGGAAAGCCCAGCCAGATGGGCGGGGTATAAATAAAAAAATATTATTATTATTATTATTATTATTATTACTCCTTCTTTCCCTTAGTGAGCGACACTGTGAGGCGGGCCCTTTCCTTACCCAGATCTGCAGCTTGATCCGCTTGTCGTTGCGGTAGATGGTCTTGACTTTGAAGTCAATGCCGACGGTGCTGACGAAGGCGGGCGTGAAGGAGTCGTCGGCGTAGCGGAAGAGGAAGGAGGTCTTGCCGACGCTGCTGTTGCCGATGATGAGGATCTTGAACATGTAGTCAAAGTTCTGGTCGGAGGACTCTTTCTGGCCATAGCGGGCGTCGGTGGCGGAGGCCATCTGGGGAGGGAGGGAGGGCAGGCAAGGTGTTGAGACACGGGGGGCCCTCGCTAGCACCCCAGGAGACACCCGTGGAAGCCAGAAAGGATTAAAGAGACCAAAGCAAGAGCTCTATGCGCTCTATGTGGGGCTACCTTGGAAGGTGACCCGGAAACTGCAACTAATCCAGAATGTGGCAGCTAGACTGGCGACTGGGAGTGGAGACCACATAACACCAGTCCTGAAAAACCTACATTGGCTCCCAGGACATTTCCGAGCACAATTCAGAGTTTTGGTGCTGAAAGCCCTAAACGGCCCAGTAGACCTGAAGGAGCATCTCTACCCCCATCATTCAGCCCGAACACCGGGGTCCATCTCCCAAGGGCCTTCTGGAGGTTCCCTCCCTGCGAGAAGTGAGATTACAGGGAACCAGGCAGAGGGCCTTCTCAGTGGTGGCACCCTCTCCCATCAGATGTCAGGGAAATAAACAACTATCTGACTTTTAGAAGGCATCTGAAGGCCACCCTGTTTAGGGAAGTCTTTAAGGTTTAATGTTTTAACATGTTTTTAATATTCTGTTGGGAGCCACCCAGAGTGGCTGGGGTAACCCAGTCAGATGGGTGGCATATTGACAAATTAGCATCATTAGAGATCTGTTTCTCAAAGGAGCCTCCCTCAAAGGGCTGTTTTGAGAGTAAAATGGGCAAAGATAAAATACTAACGATAACAAGGCTCCCAGCCCTGTCTTTCCCCCTTATCTTAACTATGCAAAAAAGGACCAGCGTTATTAATGGTGCAACAGACTGGGAAGAAAAGGAAACCCAGTTTCCGTTCCACATCCACCTTCCTCCACCCCCTCCTGCAATGCAGCTCAAATGCGAGCTGGCAAAAAATGCTTGCGGAGGGGAGAAATAATAATGAATATGTGGTTATTAGTCAAAGTGACACCCAGAGAACGGCCTTCTGCTGGGGGGGAATGTCTATGCGAAGGAAAACTAGACGGCAAAGACTTTCGGTTCCAGCCACCCCTTTCAAATCCCATCGTTCGTTGCTGTGTTTTGCCGTGCACGATAAAAAAATAAAGCATCTCCACCTTTTTAAATACATGCATGTATTACAGTTGCGAACGTCGGTGGGGATGCATCAACCCCAAGGCAAGTTTTAAGAATCCAGAACGTTGACAAGGACCGTTCATTTCCGGCCGGGGGCTTTCCACAAATCCGTCGCCATCTTTTCCGATCGAGCCCCCCCCCCCTATCTCATTCGCCCACTGCCCCAGATCCCTTTCTAACCCTGTTGGATTAAAACCGCTGAGCGAAATAAATAAGCAAATCTCTCTTTGCGGACAGTGTCCACAAAATGCTGCTTCTGGCCCGATTTCCCCGGGAGTCTGGGGGTGGGGAGGGCCGCGGCCCTATTAAACGGCCCTTCAACCCGCACGCTTTGTTCCACGGCCTACTTTTCCTTCTGCATAACCCTTTTAGCTAATTAAACAGCCAGCCGCTCGCATCAGGCAAATCTTGGGGCTGCTGAGCCGTTCCTACAGGAGGCGTCAAGGCGACCTAAACCGGGATTTTATGGGAGGGGGAGACACATTTGCACACTCAGGCCGGGGAGGATTAAATAAATAAAAAACCCAGATCCTAGTTAGCGGTATTTTCGTGCATCAGGGAGGGGGGTCCCCAAGCTGCGTTGGGAAGGATGCGTCCCCCGGTTCACCCCAAACCTCCAGGAATTTTAATTCTGGCAAAGAAGCTAAACCCCCAAAAAGGCTAACAAGGAAACAGGATTAAGGGAGATCAAGGCAAGAGACGAGCAGCTTGCTTTTGCCAACGCAAAACTCCTTATTTCCTTCGAAGAAATGGAGAGATGCCCCCCCCAGATGACTGACAACTTGCGCCTCCCCCTGCCTGCCTGTTTGTGGCATGCAGGATTGACACCACCAGAAAAAAGGGTGACTAATTTGGGAAGAGTCTGGATACGGGAAGAGGGCTGATCTGCCTTTCTCAGGCTATGGCTATCTCAAGCCCTGACTGCAGTGGGGTGTCAACGCGGCGCCCCTCCTTCAGATGCCGTTGGACTACAAAGCCCATCATCCTTCTCCTTCAGCGGCACTGGCCGATGGGAGTTGTAGTCCAAAAACGCACCAGATATTCTTGCACATCGACTCACACTTTCTCCCTTCTTCCCAGCAAGGGAGAAAAAAATCGTGCCTTTGTGAGCAGGCAAAGGAGAAGAAGAGCCACGTTTTCCTGCGTCAGAGGAGGCGGTCCGGAAAGCTAAATTTGCCCACGCGGGATGTTCTGTCCCTGGTATCGGGAACAGGCTGCCTGCCGGCTGCGATCCTGCGGGGTCTGCTTCCTTCTGCAACCCCGACGACACACACAGAGGGGGAAAAGAAGCCGTCTAATGCGGAATCCAGACCAGCTTGCCCACCTAGATCAGTAATGCCTGCTCTGACTGCCAGCAACAGCTTCCCAGGTGGATGAACGTGGGACCTGAATGCAAAGCGACTGCATTCAAACTTTCATGGGGGGCAGGAACCGCCCTGCTTTCAGCTCCCTCCCCACCCAGAATGGGGACCCCCACCCACTGATCTTGCTTACGGGAAATGAATATAGGCTGCATGGCATAATATTATTGTTGTTGTTATTGCTATTATTATTTATTGAATTTATATACCGCCCTATACCCAGAGGTTATCAGGGCAGTTCACAGAATAAAATCAAAATATAAAAATACATAAAATAAAAACAACAACATATCCATGATAATAACAATATTACATGTCTCCTCTTTCTTCCAAGGATGACTGAAATAAGATGACAGTTGTTTCACTGCCTAACTCACATTTGCCCCAAGAATTGTTCTGATAATAATGATAATATTATTATCTGCTCTGTATCCCATATTTCCTCTGAGGATTACTCAATATAGATATCTCCTCTTCCAAGGATGATCAAAATAATATTATGGTTATTTATTACATAACTCACATTTGCTCCAAGAATTGCTGTAATAATCGTAACATTGTAATTTATTGTGTATTCCGTATTTCCTCTGAGGATTACTTGCATATTCAAGTTGTTTATTACATCTCCGTATTTATGTAATTATTCCACTTCAACTAGGCCTTTGGCTGATTTGACATGCAAAGCCCTTTTAAAATGTGTTGAGGAGTTGGGGCGCTATTGGATTGTTCTCGTTTTTATTTTTGTTCTGCATGTTGTGGTTTTATATTGCGATTTTATCTTGTGAACTGCCCTGAGACCTGCGGTTATCAGGTGGTATACTAATTTACTTAATAAAAAATATATTTATTGCCTAGCCCGCCACTCCTCTAAGAATCCCTCTAATAATGCAGAAAATAACTATTCTACGTATTATGCAGCGTCTCAAACATTGTAAATATTTGTTGCATTTCCTCCAGGATGCTTAATTTGCAGGACAGGATGAGAAGACACTCAATGGCCTCCAAGGTCACCCGGCACATGGCTGAGCGGCGATTTGAACCCGGGCCCTCGTCTGCCTTGCTTCCCCCTATCCTGCCCTCCCTGCCGGCCCTGCGTGACCCCAAGGGCCACATTGTGTGCTGTGCAATTGTCCCAGGGGCCGCACGGCCTCACAGTGGGTGGGGCCAGGAGCGGGAGGAGCCACCGATGCAAATCTTGCCTGGTCCGAGTTCGAGAGCAACATTCCAGCCAGTCCAAAACCAAGAGGAGGATGCCAAGGGCCTGGTAAGAGAGGCCCCGGGGCCGCATGCGAGATTCGATCCAATCCTGCCCAATACAATCTAACAGCCGACAACAACGGAGGCAGATGCTCAAGCAGCAGGGCCCCATCTCTTTGCCTGTCCGCAGATAGACTGTGCCTAAAGAGGGGGCTCCGCCTGGGCCACCAACAGGCCCTTCTCCTCCTCTCCACACATTTGGTTCACACACACACACAGCCCACTTTTAAATGCCACCCAGGCAGGGCCGGATTGAGGTTTGATGCGGCCCTCAGCTCCTGAAGGTAACGGGGCCCTTTCTATGTCCAGCTGTTCTTTGTCCACAACAAATTGTCGCTGTTTTTGGTGCTGAATCTATGCTATATGGTCACTGATAGACCTAATAGGTATCTCAAGCCATTTGCGCATGTTGCCCTGCAACCAGTCCATGCAGAATGTCGGCACCCGATATATAGAAAGGAGCAAAGCAGGGATATTTGAGGAATCAGGCGGGGCCCAGGACTTACACCAGAGGAGCCTACGCAACACAAAACACGGTTGCTGGATGTAGGTTTTATTTCATTTGTTTGTTATCTTCTATTTTGGAAATGGACATCCAATTTTTTCTCCCTTTAATTTTTTGGGGGAGCCAAGAGAGTGGGGCCCTAAGCTAGAACTTGTTGAGCTTCGATGTAAATCGGGCCCTGCTCCCAGGCCAACAGCCATCACCAGCCCCGGTCCCCGCAGAAAAGACGTCGATCTTGGCGACATCAATAGGGCCCAGCTTCCTGGTTGCCCTTGGCACCCGGGCATCAATCATTCATACGCCAGGCGTTGCGTGGCAGCCCTTTGGCCTGGACAGCCGTCCATCAACAGGGCACACGCTCCTTACTCTCCCTGCACAAATCTGATCCAGTTGCAAACGGATGAAAACCAAGAGGATAGGAGGTGGAATTGCAAAAAAGGGGGTACATTCTAGAAGCAAGGGATGTGTGCGATGCTTCAATAGGTCTACTCCGAGTAGGGCTAAGGCTGGCCCAATCCATTCCATTTCCTCTCCTTCCCGTGCAAAAGGCAAGGCAAGCACCCAAAACCATCATCTCCTTGCCTACATTCAATGCTGCATCGCTCATCCCCGAAAAGCACGCAGTGGGTTGCAATTATGGTCTGCCAAAGGGGGTGGGGGTGGGGAGAGGATCCCAAAAACGTAAATCAATTGCCTCTCTCCGCCTTGATTTTTCGTTTTTTAGCTTTGCAAATGGCAAGCTCTCTCTGCATCAGAGGAATTGGAAAAGGGGGCAGAGGGAGAAAGAAAAAACCATCTTAAGGCTCATTTTGTCATCCGAAAGGTGAGCTCCTGCCAAAGCGATTCGGATCCAGCTCCTTACAAAACGCAGAGGGGTTTGGGAAGGGGTTTTTTGCTTTTTTGAGTTGGGGTTTTTGCTTTTTTTGCAAAAAGCTGCCTCCCCCCCCCCCATTGCAAATAAGGCCCACCAGATCTGGCTCCTTTTCCAACCTGCGCTGCTCGCTCCCCCCTCCCCCCCGTCCCTCCTTTCCCAATCCGCCTGTTTACCATCTGCATCGCCGAAGCCTCTTTTGCCAGGCCAGCATTTCCAGCTTAGCCCATCGCCGCCCATGGCAAGAAAATGCATAATAATAAAAAAAGGAAAGCACCGCTCCCGTTAGCAAGACAGCATCATCCCTGTCCAAAACACCTCCATTTTTTATTATATCATTTTGGTAAAGAATCCAGCGCTTTAGGCTTGGCTTTTTTTTCTCTCCCCCCCCCCCTGCAATTCTGCATCTTCTTTTTTGCATGTGTCAAATGAAGGTTACCAGCCCCCCCCCCCGAGACGCGTTCTTTCGCATGCAATGCAGGGGTGCAAAAGGTGCAATGCAGGAAAGGGGAAAAGGCGGCCCCGGGGGGGTGCAGAGCTTGGAGGGGGGGTTGCCCAAGGCGCGCACTCACCTCGGGAACGCGCTTCGGGTCTAGCAGCAAATGCAGCAGCAGCAGCACAAGCGGCGCGAGGCGACGGCACCTGCCTGCAGAACCCGGGCTGACGTCACCAGCGCTCCGAAAGGGGAGGGGAGGCTATGCAAATAGGGCGGGTGACGTCAGGGAGCAAGGCGCCGCCTCCGCCTTCGCAGCTCCCGGAGGCGGGATGGTGGGAAGCTGCCATCCCGCCACGCGATTGGTGGATCGCCTAGGATTGGCAGCCCCGTAACCAGCTCGCTTGAAACCCAACGGGGCTGATTTCTAAGGAGAGAGAAGCCTCACGAAACCTCGCGAGATTTATTTCTCCCGCCATTTCCCCCCCCCCGCCTTCTAGGCGTATCTATGGCGAAGCAAATCACGTGACTCTGAGGGAAATTTCTTTATTCTTAAATGCTAATTTTATTCGAGGGCTATTAAGCTATTAAGCCCTCGAATAAATGCTGATCATGAGGGGAATTTATTTCTTCTTAAATTCTATTTTTATTTGAGAGCTATTAAGCCCCCTCAGAGTCATATAAATGCTGGTCATGAGAGGAAATTATTTATTCTTAATTCTGTTTTTATTCAAGGGCTATTAAGCCCCCTCAGAGTCATTTAAATGCTGGTCCTCCAGAAATAAATCACCTAAATCAGAAGAAGAAAGACCAAGAGCGGAATTTCTGACCAATTTTTCACCTCAGGATAGTCTGCTGTTGTGCTTTTCTGTTAAATTATCACCATGATTTTTACCTCACAAAAATGCTCACCCGACGTTTCAGACAAAAATAAAATAAAATACCACATATACAAGCCCACTGGTGTCAAAGCAATTCTATAATCCACAAATCTATGAGGAACGATGCTGGAGATTGTTCTGGCCGTATAAGATCAATTATGGATTGAGGGGTTTTTTAATAATAAAAATATCAAGCCAAATACACGGTTATGGCTGCTGTTATGATGAAAACATTATCCATCTTTCAACATGGCAGCCCTTGAAACTTTGGAACTCCCTGCCTCTTGACATAATTTACATTTTATTCCGGGTTTTATTTGATGTCTTAATGTAGCTTGTCAACCACTTTGAGATTCTTTCCTTTGTTACCGGAAAAATCCGAGGGCTCTCTTGGACAAAAACAAAGACACCAACCAGGATAACTTGGAGCAAAACAGCAGCCTGTAGGCTTGGCCTTTATTGAACTGATGCATCAGGGTGTTCCCCTCACTCGCAGGAGAGAGGAAAGACCCAGAACAATGGGCTGCAAGACCTTATAAAAACTTTTGAAATTCCCCTCCTCTAGCTCAAGCCCACCCCCAGAAACATCATGCATACATTACAGAAAGGAGTTGACATCATGCATACATTACAGAAAGGAGGGGTTGAGGGAGGAGTTGTGGTGGTAACCTGAGTGTCCAGTCACCCAGCTGGTTCCTCCTTTCCCCCTCCCCATGAGTGCCTTCCAGGTGACAATGGGGAGTTTGCAGTTTCCTGCCCCCAGAGGGAAGATCTGATCATTCTCCTTTGTTTCAGTCTGTGGTGAATCCACTGTTCTTTGTGATTTTGATTGTCTTCTGTCTGGGATCATCTGGGCAGGGCTCCTGCAGATGTGCTGAGACAGTGAAGGGATTCTGGCTGACCAGGGTCAAACCCCCCTCCCCTTCTGTTAGTTCTTGTCATATGGAGTAAAATAAAAATGGAACAGTGCAAATCCAATGTATGGTTGATTTTCTATGAATTTATAACAGAAATGTGGCGTATGTAGTGTGTGAGTGTGTGTGTGTGTGAAGTTTGTACAAGCAGAATGATTGGGGTGGGGGGTTTCCTGCTACACCTTAAAAACATAAAGAGGTACAGAAATGAAATTAATAATAATATGCCAACATTATTACATCACTCGTAGTAGCTTACAAAAAAATTTCCCAATTTTATCTGTGTTCCACTGATAATTTCTTTTTAAAAGAAAAATACTGTATTTTCCCTATTTCTCATTTTACAGTGTTTCTACATCTAAACAGAAACCAACATTTCCTTCGACTTCCTTATTTTATATCATCAGTTCCAACCTGTTTATAAATGTAATCTTTTGGCTCTCCAGAAGTTTATTTTTTACGCCTGGTGTTTATGTCAACCCTGCTAAAGTTTCTAATCGCTTACAGTAATAACACTATTGTTATAAGAAAAAACACGGCTCCTTTTTGGTACCCAAGAGCCCGTCTAGAGTCCTTATTGTAGGGCTGACCAAAGTTGTTGAGTTTTTAGGACCAAAGAGTTTTTGACCTTTTTTTTACAATTTTACACCAAAGTTGTTGAGCTTTTAGGATTGAAAGTAAAAAATATTTACTCTCATTATTATCATTTTCTGTGGGTGTCTGCACATATGTGTGTTGTTGTATGCAATCTTTGGGAGGAAAGAAGACGGTAAATAACAAATAAACTAAATATTGATGTATGTAATTTTTATTTCTTAAGTATATTTAGTGCTAGTATGGCTGTATTGTTTTTTTGTAACATAAAACCATTCAAAAAAATTTATTTATTTTTTTAAAAAGGATTGAAAAGGAGTTGTTCAGCTTTTTTTTTTTAAAGGATTTTACCCCAGGACATATACTGCCATGGGGGCTGGATTAAACCGACCGGTGGGCAGGATTAGGCCCCCGAAATGGACTTTGGGCATGCCTGCTGTAGCCCAAGACCCCCCCCAAAAAAATCATATATATGTTGCAGGAATTGATGTATAGGTTGGGGGGGTTGCCCCTCCAGCAGATCTCATGTACAAATCACAAAAGTCACAAAAGCCCACGACCAAAACCAGCACCATCCCTTTTGGGACGTTTGTGCTTTGTCCCCACCAAACACTTCCCCCCAGTTTCTTCCTATCTATTCCAAGGGCCTTTGCTGCACGATACCAAATGGAAGAATTCACTGATCAATGTGTCTCTGTACTGGCTGACTGGGGAAACTTCAGAAATTCCTATAGAGATGTGAGCTCAGCTCCTCAGCCGCCCCTCTGCCTGAGGGATCATCCCTGGCCTCCTGATACCCGAGGGCCAGGCAGGGAGCCATGCCAGAAAGAACCAACCCAGATGGAGACAAAAGGGTGGGATGAACTGGGCTGGGAAACAGGGAAATAGAAATATCTTCTTTTGTTCCACTTGTTGGGTGTTTGTTGGAGGGCAAGGGGAACCATGGGGCAGGGTCCAGGATGCTCAGATTACGGCCGCCATACCTCCCCTTTCATGATGTATGAGTGATGTAGTTTTGGGGGGTGTAAGATGGGGATGAGCAGCTAATAAAAGTTGGGGTCCTCTTTTGTTGGGGGCTTCCATCTTGTTCCCCCTGGTGGCAGGTGGGAGTCCTGTCTGTCTTCAATCAAGACCAAGCCGACTGGCTGCTCTTTTGCTCTCCTCTTCCTGGCTGGTCTCCTTGCTTTTTGTCCAAGGGAGTCCTCCGATTTCTCCTTATAACACACACATCACAGAAGGGGCATCTACATCAGAAATCATGTCTGCCAGGTTCCCTGTTGCTGGGTTTACCTGGCTGTTAATGGGTTTACCTGGAGAGCCTGGCCCTCCTTTTGTGAGGACAAATCCTGAATTCCTGAGTCCCGGTCTCCGGCTCCCCTCTTCCTCCCTCAAGGCAGGATTTGGGAGCCGGGAGACAAGGGCGAAGCTTCTCCCCTTCCCATCCAAACTGCAGAGGAAGAGTTGAGGCCCCTGAAAGAGTCAAAATGGCCTCAGGACTGTCTTCCTGTCCTCTTTCAGGCATGGGGTTTATGTAATTATGTCTGTGTGTGCCTGGTACGTTTATGAACATTTATTTTACGCCTTAGACCTTCTAATTCTCATAACATTAGTTATGCTTCTCAAGTAGTCCTTGAGCATCACCTGAGTCGCAGCATCTCTTTGGCCTGGCGCTTGCTGGTCATTTTCTGACAGGAAATTTCCCTCCTTTTAATGAAAGAACTCCAGTACTTTATGAAACTGGTTCTTCTGTGTCTCTGGGTACGTTTCTGTGTGGGATTTCACTTCGTATCACGGCGCTGCCACCAATTAATATGAATAATACCTTAGACCTTCTAATTCTCATTACATTAGTTTTCCTTGAGCATCACCTGAGTTGCAGCATCACTCGGCCGGCACAAAAAGAGTTTTTAGTGCAGGTTGCAGAACTTTCCCGCCTGGCATTTTCCCTCCCTTTCTCTGCTTTTTGCCTCAGCAAAATGGCAGCAGTTCTCAATTCAGATTCTGAAGTTTCCCACCTTCTTCCCTTTCACAATGGCTGCCTGGCTGCCTTTCCGGGAGTCTGTGGCCCAGAGAAGCCAAAACCGCTTTTCCCGCCCCTGCTCGGTTTTATTTTCCTCAAGGATGTCCGAAAGAAAAAAGGAACATAGAGAGTTATTACTAAGACGGAGAAAAATTTTGCTCAGTTTCCAAAGGAGAAAGCAGCATTAGAAGATACGGGTCAAGTCGCAAAGGCTTGGGAATATTGCGACGGCCCTTTTCCCCCTGGCGCCATTGGGTCCATTCTCTCGCTTAAAAATGGAGCGCCCCCCTCACACAACACCACTTCTCTTCAACTTGATGTTTTTCTTTCTCTGCTTCCACTTTCGCCAAGTCCCGTCTTAGTCTCCTCATCTCTCATTCAGGGGGAGGATTTTCCTCAGATGCAGCAGCTCTGCACTGGGTCACCCTGAGTCTCTGGCTTGGCGCTTGCTGGTCATTTTCTGACAGGAAATTTCCCTCCTTTTAATCAAAGAACTCCAGTACTTTATGAAACTGGTTCTTCTGTGTCTCTGGCTACGTTTCTGTGTGGGATTTCACTTCGCATCACGGCGCTGCCCCCAATGAATATGCAATGGCCTCTCACTCTCCAAACAAGGCGCCCACTTCCACCAATTCCCTCAAACTCCCTCAGATTGTCTTGTAAGGGACTTGCGTGAGGTAAAACTTAACAATTAGGAGTCTCCGGCAGGATTTGTTCAAATGAAGAAGAAGGGTTTTATTTGACCAGGAAGTCTATGACCCGGGGGGATGAAACTTGGGAGACTTCAGCCTGCAATGTTCTTTCCCTTCAAGGTTTTCTCCATTGTTTTGCACTCCGTCCTTTGGCTCTCAACAAGGTGGTCCTTTCTGCCAGTGACTCCTGAGGGACCTCCAAGTCACAAGAGATCCTCGCTTTGGGAGGCTTCTCTTTCTAGAAGGATCTCTCCCCTCCGGACTGGAAGGAGACGTCTCTTTC